TTACACACTACGTTACACATTCTAAAATATTAGGTTGTGCAATAAGAACATTTCAACGACGGTGTAATTAATTCGTATTATTTATTTGATTGATTATTCTCTATAGATAAATCAAGTAACTTTGAAAGTTTCGCTCCTTTATCAAAAAATTGTATATTTATCTCTACGTCCTTTGAATATTCCATTATTGTTAATACAATAAATTTAATTTCCTTCTTATTTTTTTCATTAAGTAATTAAGTAGCATTTATCCATACTGCATATGTATGTGTCTCTCTATTCAGTACGCATGAATTACATATATAATCGACTACATATAATGTAAACAATAGTCTTTATGATATATATTTTTAACATTCCGAGGAATGTAACATCAAATGGCGAACGAATTTATTAAACTAACATAATGGAATTAATCTGTTCCCCAATAATGTTCTTATTTCTAGTTTATTCATCGAATAATTAATATCAAATGATTAACAATGGTTTGAAATGTTCTGCAGCTTTAAAGCATGAATTTAAGATCGTTGATCGTTATTTTGATCAATGCTTATTTGAATAGATATTACGAAATAATTTACACGTTGGTAAAAATATAATTATAATATTTGTAAATATTCAAGTATTATATACTAGAATAACTAAAAGAGTTATGATAGAAGAAAAATCATGATAATATAAGAATTAAATTTAATACATCAAAATAACACATAAGAGATGTTCGGCTTCATTCTACAAAATTCTAAAATCTGATTACTCTAAAGATTTCACTTTCTACAAAATTTAATTAATTCCAACGAAAATTGATTGAATATTTCATTATGCTCCTTTTCTACTAAGAAAGAAATAACTGCACGATAGTATTAATTCTTTTAGGTATATTAAAGGAACATGAGCCATCGTGACATTCATTTTAAGAACAGAATATCACGATCACATTACCAGGGAATAAGTGAATTAATCCACTTTTATTAATCTTTAATTATTTCTTCAAGAGAAGCTCTCAACCGAGAAATGACCTACTTAAAACGTTAAAGATATTTTCGTTCAGCGAAAGATTTTAGCCTGGACTTTTAACCCAGATATATATTAAGAAATTGAGAAATTCATTTTAATTTTGAAACGTACTTTTATTTCAAACGAATCTAAAGATTGATATCTGACATAATTAGATCTAACGTATGGAATTCAGGTCTTTCGAACTTTTTTTTTTTTATAAGGGCACAAATAACTCCCTCATTTGACACAAATTTTTAAAACACTTTTATCATTATATTTTTATTATAAATCTCTCGAAAGATTTTTAATAGAATTTTACTGAAAATTTTCACGATTCTATTTTCTCATTATTCTATTTTCAAAATGAATGTTACAATGGCTTGAATTTTTTACCTAATATCTAAATATTTCTTTAATATATCTAATTATTTCTTTCTTGGAGGAAAACAAGGCACTTTTGTTGGAAATAAATAAATTTTGAAGTAAATTTTACAAACCCTCGAAAGACTTTTCCTTGAATTTTAGTTAAACTTTGGTGGAACCATGAAAATTTCTATAATTTCTATTCTCTGTCAAGTTTGATGAATTTATGACCATACCTGCAGCATGAATAAGAAGCAAATGTCCTGTCGTTGGATCTCTGACCAATTGTAAACCACCTTGAAGACCAACGCCCATTTGAGGAAAACCAACTGGTTCCATTGGCATCGCTGTAACATAATACAATAAATCATGAAACCAATAGAATGAAATTGAAATATTCAAGTACGAATTTTCCAAAGACGAAATACTTTTATTTTAATAAAATTTTAATTAAACTGTTAATCAACAGTAATTTCTAAGTCCTAAATGGAAGAAATTCTAATTAAATAGCTCGTCGTAGAAATTCATAATTTAACGCAAATACTGAAAATTTGTTGAATAATTCATTATGCGAACAAAAATTCTCCTTCTCTCAATATTCAGTCACGCACGAAAGAAAAT